ATATCGACGTCTTTATTCACATGTTGTAAGAAATCGTTCGAGTGCAAAAGCTGATAAGAAATAAACATATTTGGAAGATTCGTTATGATATGATAAACCTCATCGTCTGACAGTAACTCCTCGTCATTATCAGATTTTGCTCCTTCTTCTTCATTATCCTCGATAGCTTCCTGCACATCTTCCTCATCTTCAAATCCGGCTATATCCTGAGGTCGAGGATTTCGCGAGAGTTTACGTTTGCGTTGGGATATCTGTAACAGTAAATTTTTACTGAACAATATTTCACAGTTAAAAGAAATTTCATGCCACAGTGAAAGAGTAAGAAGGCTATACACTGCAGGCTTTGTTACAACATGACTATCTACTATCTATACAAGCACCACTACTTTTACAATTCACTAGCTCAGTGTGTTTACAGCATAGAGACCTTTGGCACTTCGAGCCGAATATTCGACTGACCACTTTCGCGCTGCTAAAATTCATAAACGGACATGGCGAACTGGACAAGGACGGCTAAGTTTTCTAAAATGTCCTTACACTGAGTTTCTTCTTAGCAGCTAGTTTCTTCTTATGAATTAGGGTCGGTGCAATCTGCATGTCCATGGACAGGGCACGCTCGCGAGGTCGTCCTTCCATATCGCCATTTTCCTGAGTTTTAATTTGAAAAAACAGAATGCATTAGCCGAAACAGAAACAGACTTTGTCAGCAGCTTCCTTTTCTTCGGCAAGACGCTTCTTCTCTTCCTCTTGCTCTTTCAGCACCCTTTTATAGTCCTTGGGGAATATCTAAAAAATTCACGGTATGCATACGCATGTTTCGAGCTAAATGGACATGGTTACCTTGACGATTTTTGCATGTTCGGTTTGCCAATCGTCAAGAATGCGCTGGCCAAGCTCAGACCCAGTCAGTTGAACAAATTTCTTGATTCTGTCCCGTATGAAGACCAGATCATCTTCATCTGGAGTATCCAGATCAACCGTGGCGTCGTTAATTCGGCTGGTGAATGGGTCGCCTCTGGAAATCGATGGCCACAGTGAGATAAAAGGATTTTGCAACTAT